ATACCGCATGAGCCACAGGATCGGGTAGACTAACGCGTTGATCGACAGTATGAATTTGATGAACCCCGAGAGGGAGAAGATCTTCGAGACAAAATTGACCGGGCGGACGAGAATTTGAGATGAAGTAGTGTAAAAATCGACTGAAAAGTGCGTCGAGCTCAGATGAGGGGTTGAGTTGAGTAGTTTAAGTAACTCTAGTTGTGAAAAAAAATTAAGACAACCAATAGTTCCATTAACAACTGTTTTCGATGGAAAACAAGATGGCGATTGATCTTTTTCTATTGCTACTCTAAAGAATACGTAGATGGAACATACCTTCTTCCAAAAGTGCCAAGTTCCATCCAAACACGGCCTTCTCAACTCGAAGCTCTTTCAAGTACTTATTATTGGCACAATAGTCATCACACCATTGTCTCAATTCTCTTTCCACTTTAGCGGACTCTTCTCGGTTGGGCTTCTGATGACGATAGTATCCTCTCCTGACAACTGAGTTGAAGTAGTTCAAACATTTATCCGACCAGTGGGGTCCTAACAAATGATCAGGTGGTCGGCTTGGTTCACACGAGAAGGCACTGCGTGGAAACATCCAAGAGGCTGTCGGAAGGAATGATCCATTCAATCGCAGGAAAAAAAAAATCAGAATCCCAAGATATTAGCAATCATTTGGCAAGCTTTGAAGTACTGAACTAACAATAATTTACGATCAATGTCGAATGAGAGAAACATACTTACGCACAAAGGGCGGGTACCCAAATCGTTTAGTTTCATCGGCGATTTTATCAGCCTTTCTTCTTTCTTTGAAGCCCACTCTTGTCCTCCCTCTTCCCGGTAGATCTGAACTTTCGTGTTCATTTGCAAGTTGGTTTAACAGTCCCAAATCTTTGCCATTTTCCCATCTCCCTCGTTCACGTCGATGTCGTCCTCGACCAACCACCTCACCATCACCAACAATGTATAGACGTCGGATCCCATGGTCTAGAGCTGGTTCAGCTGCCGCCTGCATTGTGAAGGAGAAATCTGTAACGGTTTGACGTTGTTCCCTGGTGCGATATTCAGTCCGCCCTATGGTTATCGATGTTTATAAAGGAGGCAGTTAGGCTGAAATGCACTACTTTCAGGGTGAGTGGGCCATTCAAAACCAAGACGTTCTAGCTTACCATTCACATATTCAGTCGTGGTTTCCGTCCTCAGATCCTCATGAGTTCCACTCAATTTCACAATCAATTCGGGCGGTGATGATATATGTAACAGTATGAATCGACACAAAGCCTCCCCATCCGTATTGAGATGTGAATCATGGCTAGATATATGCAGGAAAGGGGGAAAAAAATCAAAGGAAACAGATCAGCCTTCAATTGATAAACATATGCACCCAAAAAGTCAAAATCACTTCAAACCTAGTGATATTCCCTAGCTTGTCGGCCGTATATGAGGCTTGATAGACCGAAAACTCGGGAGGTTGGGTATCATTTGCTGACTGTCCGGCTTCCAAGTCACCAGCCAACGGACATGGGGCTGAAGATGTAGGAAAGAATCCCGAGGGCTCGACAGATTTCCCAGACAACGAGGGATCGAGTGCCGACGACTGCTGCTGGTAGGTGGCGGCTGATGAGCCGGATGGTTCGTCTGAGTAACGGGGTGGCTCGTCTGAGTCTATTGAGTCGGATGAGTGGCGATGGATGTGATGGCCATCGGACTTGGTCGATGACTGAACCTTCGACATTGCTGTGAAGAAGTTGGCTGTGAAATGATTGTCGGAGTTCAAGGCGGAGGGATCGGCGGGGGGCTTGGATACTCCGACTCAAGGTTTACCGGCCACGGCGCATGAGCCGCGCAGTAGGCGGCGCGCACAGGCCGGCCCTGTTGCCCCTCTCTGCACATGGACGCGGGCCGCACCTCGCGCCAAGAGTCATCGGGATTGTTTTTCTCAGCTAACTTCTGCTGGCTGGAGGATTGGTGGGAGAAAGCTAGTCAATCTTTGCTCTTGAATGACTACCCCACCAGTTGACGATGGCAACGACTTGATCGACTCAAGAAGACAAATGGCTTTCATGTTTAGCACTTCGTCTCGCAACGCAGAAAGGTGTAAAAACATTGTCCAATTCGTGATTGCTCATTTTTCAGAAATGAGGGAAACAGCATAGCGGGATTGGTATTACATGAAGAAAATGAGCTGGATTCAAGGAAACATGCAAGACTTCCTGCGGCAATGCCAGAAGAGTAGCACTTGATAGATTAGAAAACCTCGCTCATACTGGAGGGTTTTTGGCAGCACTGTTCCGGAGTATGGATGGGTGAAATCAAGCAATCAATCAACATCGAGGTCAAAATCTGAAAGATAGAAGTAAAATGTAGGCAATAATATACGCACAAGTCCCAGGCTTCAATCTCAACCTTACCGGGATCATTCTTGTCGTCTACATTTCCACCGAGTTCCGTGTACAGCTAAAAGCATGAAAAATTAAGTATCTTTAGTTTGGATTTCGAAAAGGAGAAGTGACTTTGGCGAGCTACTGACCACTTTGGTGACGTAAATCGCGGAGCAACCTTGTGCAGTAGTGACCGGGGGGCCGTCCTCCGCGAAGCCACAACCATCAACGATCTTTCCCCTAACGTGCTTCTTCCCTTGTTTGATGATACTATCAAAAAGGATAAACATAAAACAGTTTCTCGGTTAAATATATTCAGTGGAGCTTTCCGATTCTACCCTCTTATAAACATACACATGAAGGTTGGTTAGTAGACACTAGACTCACAATTGCTTGCCGCAGTTACTCTTGTCATCGCTATTTTCGGGAAGAGATAAAAAAAGGTCAGTCGGCAGCTCCTAGGTTATTTGAAATCTTGGTTCACTGACTCGGTAAGCCAACCTGGAGTTAAGCCTTTTGGCGTAGGCGTCCTGGGATTATCGCCGATCCACAGGCAGGCACCTCTGGTCGTGTTGGTGTAAGTTTCGCAAATCTGTGAGTTGAGATTGATCGATTTTTTCTTAGCATTGTTCTCTGAAAGGATAATAACTCTTTCCGTTGAAACAGTCAAAGGTTTGACAAATCGCTTACACCCTTATCTGCCGTTAACTCTCTGGTTGGGCGTCCCGACTCCTTCTCCTTGATCCTCCATGACGGAACCATTGGACCTCCGGATTTCATCTGCGGCAAGTGTCAAAGTTTAGCGAGAAGCCGTACTCTGTGGATTAGAAGAAATCAGGTAGACTCACCAATCTGACGGTTACAGTCATTTTATTTCCTTGTTTCTTATACCATCTCCCACAAACAGTAGTGCTGGAACTAGTGTTAACTAAAACAGTCAACGCGGTGACAAGCACTAGTAAGCCTTTGAGTTGGAAAATCATTCTTGAAGGCAGTTCGTGTCTGAGAAGTGAAGGATATTGATGGTGATGAGGTTTGACTTGGATGGAAGCTCTATTTATATTCCTCAAAATATGGGCTCGCACAATACGATAGGTATGTATCCAGTCATTCCTCTCGAATTTGGAGCACAGGGCCGAGCCTGTTGCAGAAGTCCTGTACAGATGTATTATGGAGAAAAGTCCTCATCGAAATACTCAAATCATCCGATCAGGGTTGGTCAGGTTCACATTCTGGTTCATTACTTGGAATTTGAATTCAATTAACTGTACAGCTTTTTGGCTGCACTACAATGATTTTTGTTGTATGCTGCTGTATTTTCCTGGCCGGCTCCTGGGACTCGCGGCGGGTGGATCCATAAATATGTTCCTTTGAAAACGCCTTCATGGGACTGACAGTGTCCTCAATTCAACTAGGTATACAACTGCCGATTCCACAAGACATTTCATCAACTCATAATCCACTCCAGAGCGGATTTTCAGAATGCGACTGCATGGGTCTGGGTTATACCGTCACACTCATATCCAATATCTCAGTTAGGGCGATATAGCGCTGGTTGTGCCATCACTCAACGAGCCGCTGGCCGTAGAGCGCGTACGCCATACAGTTGCATTCTTCGGCTGCAAAGAATCAGTTCAAAGTGACATTCCATTCAACGAGTGATATCAGGCCGCTCGGACGCTTCACAAATCGCGGCTCAAACATCGCGGCCGGGAGACCGGGGATTTGCAGTTGCGTGATGAAAAAAGTTAAGGGTCGGCCTTCCGACACCTGCAGAGCCCCGCCCACCTGATGGGCATATCGCCAACTGGGTCAAATAGCATGCGGATGGCTGAAGCGGATTTGTGAATGAAGTGCGTGGTGAGATAGAGGTCAACTCCGAGAGACCGGGGATGTACAGTTGCGTGATGAGAGTAGCCTTCTGAAGCCGGCCTTTCTGCACCTGCATCTCGCCGTCTACCTGATTAACAGCACCGAGGAATATAACTAACCGGGTCAAACATTTACGCGGAAGGCCGTAAGGGCTTTGCGAATGAAGTACGTGATGAGAAAGAGTTCAAAAATAAGACGCAAGCTTGAGGAGGTTTGAGAATCCAAGATTTACAATTAGAAATTTCATGGGAGCTCTAAGAGCGCGATTGATCCAAGTTCAACGGATAAAGCAAAGAAGCGACGCGTATAGAGATATGATGACTTGAGCAACTCGAGTGAAATCCCGGAGCCCGGAGGGTATCCGCGGCATTGCATTTTCATAGCAATCGCGTCTCTCTTGCTGTGAAAAATTAGCTTGAACGTGTCGCACCGAAACCCAGATGCAGTCTAATTTGCAGGGTTCACATTTGGCCATTAGAATTTAGATAATTTCATCGGGCAAAAAGTATAATGTTTAGGTATGACTCCTTTTCAGAGATTTGCTGGAAGCATTAGAGCAAAGTCGAACCAGCTTCCGATAAACATGCCATCGAGTTTTCTGGTTCAGAGAGCAGCTATTACATGACGAGATGTTTATCAAGTGAGGCTAATGGCGCGCAGCTTGCGTGAGATGTTTAAATATTAACAAATTTCAGGCCAGCCAAAGAATATCAACAAAATTCAGGCTGACAACATTGGGGTATAACAACGATCTGTTAAAGCTAGTTTCTAACAAGGTTATGCGAGGGAATTCTTCATTTATATCTTATGTACTTCCACAACGGATGGAAATGGAGGAAAAGCATAGCGAAAGAAGCTATAAATTTGCATGTTTAGAAACAATAATTGACAATTTTTTTGGGGATTTAGGTGTATTTATATGATGGTTGCAGACATGCCGACATTCCAGGAAGCTGGAGTTCAATAGATTTAAATAAGTGCTGAAATGATAGTTCCCGAACTAACGATGAAGCGATAGTCCCGGTAGGTGAACCAGAAGGTTTAAATAAGTGCAGAAATGATAGTTCCCGAACTAACGATGATGTTGGATGGAGATGAATGGGAGCCGGGGAAGCCAGCGGCCGTGATAATCACTGGTAAAGTTTGACTGAGGCAATCTCCTTTAAAATATGAATAGAAGATGTGATTAGCTCAGGCAATGTGATTGATTCAGGCTCGGACAAACGTACCCAATTGGCGTCTTTGTAATTGGTTGGATCCTTTACCAAATCAGTGCATGATCCGGAGCAGGCATTGTTGGCATTGAAAACGCCAGCAGAGCCAGCCCAATCTCCGCAAAGTGTCTGTTTCGGAAGCGGAAGATTCAATTAAACTGCTTGCGTTTAGGAGATGATCTATAGGACTTACGATGTCAAAGATGATGCGATGTTCTGAGAACTCGTCGTTCATGTTGTTGCAGATGTCGCTGGACCAATGCGCAACTGGACGAATAGGCCAAGTCGAAGGTTGTGGAGCGTGTCCTGACTGAAGATCTCGAGGAACTTCACCACGGCTGAAACGCCATATGGAGACCCCATTGGGGGACCACTCCATGGCGAAGACACCTCCACCTGCCTGGTTAAATGGCTGGCCGTACGATGCATTGGAATGGTCGTGAACCCCACAACCTAGGTTGGCTGGCGTAGCGCAATCAATGGAAATGAGCAAGAGGTATCAGTGGGGCGTAACCTAGTAGTAATACGCGCCAGAAGTGAAAATGTGTTGCCTTACAGGATGCGTAAACGTCGCAATCGGGGTTAAGAACGTTGCCGACAGCAGCTTGCAACATTGGGTTTTGGATGGTACACCCAGGTCCAGTGTGAACTGTGAGTTCGGAAACAATTAATGACGTGATGAGGACCCATGAATGTAATTTAGGGATAAACATAAAAGGATGGCTCACGGGTCATTTGGTTGGTGTTTAACATGTTAACACCTTCAACAATGTCAATCTCTCCATCGTGAGGCCAATTGTTACCAACGGTCCAGACTGGAAATCGAAATCATAGTAGTATTTAAGCTTTAAGTCAATTTTTGCCCTTATGACCAACGAACTTACAGGCGGGCCAGGTAGAACAGCCGAACGGCATCTTGAGGGCGTCCAAAACGAGAAGACCATACTTGAAGCTTTTCTTAGAGGAAAGTCGAACCGATTTTCGCGCTTCGCCTTGAGCAAGCCAGTTGGTGTTGTCTACTTTCATCTTAGCGGTAATCAAGTTTTTATCGTGTGAGCTGGGACCAACAGAAACAAGACCTTGTTTCCAGGCCTCATTGACAGGCTGGTAGGCCACTTGCCCATGGGTTGGATCCGCTAAAGAAAGAAAAAATGACTGTCACAAAAACGTTCAGGAAGCGCTTCATTTAAAAATAGAATGACCCTCACAATCGGAGAAGAAGTCCCAATCATCAAAAAACTTGTTTCCGGAAGAGCTGAGGGTTAAGTTGTATTTTTTACCCTGTGAGTTGGGCTCCCTTCCGTAACCAAGCTGGATGGGGAGATCCAGGCCGAGTAAGTTGGAGTTGGGGTTGTAAGATCCGGAGCCGTAGTCCCCATTGTCATCTTGGGCGCGGAGGTAAGAAGGCTTGGAGCCATAGTCCCCATCGTCATCTTGTTTGCGAATGTAGGAAGGCTTGGACCCATAGTCACCATTATCCACTTGATCGCGAAGCTTAGAATGCTTGCCACCACGGTGCGGGCGATGATGGTGAGGGCTTGAGCTTGGGGCACATTCAGCCGAAGTGTATGATAAATCGAGTAATAGGAAACAGCCGATGAGGAAGGCCGTCGAGAGCACCTTTGTTCTTGACATCTTGACCCGGGTTTGGATATTTCTGATGGGAGATATTTTTTAAATATTTATGCGTCAATGGACATGTATGTGGTGATGGGTCTTGTTACAAACAGAAGGATGGTGGTATGAGTTGACCGAAACGGTTTCTTCGAGTAGCGTTGCGAGAGAGCAAGAGAAGATGTTGGGGTGAGCTAGCAGGGGGGAAGCGAGGTGCGGACTGAGAGATGATGGGGATGGATGGCCTGGCTTTAAGGATGGTACTCTGGTCATTCCAAAGGTCAATGCACTTCGAGCAGCCTCGTGCTCTGTCCCTTCGACTTCCCAGTCCAGCCTGACTTATTTTGTTTTGAAGAAAGCTTGGACTAGGATATTTAGCAAGCTCGGTTGAAATCCGTGGAATTTGATGTTTTAAGTTTTGCTGTTATCCTTTTTTTTGTCTCATGGAATCGAGGATGGTGGCATGATTGGGGCTCATAATCGCCACAAAATAGGCAACTGTGCACTTTTGGTCGGACTGAAGATATGCATTCCCTAATCCTCACCCTTCTGTCCCAAAAACAGTGGGAAACACCAGCAGTTGATTGCTTTTCCGGGACTAACGTGGATATAATATCTCGTATCGGTTTTGATCTTGTGGGAAGGGGGAAATGGCGCTCCGCTTCCAAGCCGTCATGCCGCTTCCGAAAACTGGCGGAGTCACCTAATCGAACCTCCGCCCAGAGGAATTCCTTAGGTACCTTCAGATTCCCAATTCCTTTCCTTGGGACCGATTCAAATGTGTCCTTGTTGATTTTTTTGGGTCGATGATCTTGCAGCCACAACTGGTGCACTGTACCGTTTGATCTCTACGGCCTCGACCGGACAGGGACAGCCAAACGGGCCTTGGCACCTGGTCAAGTCGAAAAAGAGCTTTGTGATTGCCGTCGAGGCGGCTCTTGATGAATGTCGGCAGAAGGTTGCTTCCCAATGTTTAAGAGCACCGCGGTGGCCTAAAATTTTGGGCAATGAAATGACCTAAGGTGTCTTGAAAGGTGAAAACGGCACTCTAGTTCATGATGCAGACGGCAGACCCGGTATTCGAACCAGCCCGGCAGTTAACCTCAATGGCCGAATCATTCCTTTCTTCACATATGCTGAAAAAAAAAGAAACAAGCAGCAGTGGATTCATCCTCACTGAACACCTGGTAGCTGCTGACCGAGGAAATTCCTCACCGGCAAGTGGCCATGTATGAGGTGTAGCCGCTTGTGGGGTCAGATTTCTCCTATCCAAATACTCATCCCGGCAAGCAGCGCCAGCGGCAAGAGCCCGTTAACAGGCTAGAACACCACCCCGCAAAGAGCGCATCTCGACTTGAACTACACCACCGGGTGTGGTGGATGGCATTTGGACACCCAATCAGATGTACCAGATGCCATCCCACCTTGGCCCTGCAAGGAGCATCAATCGGATGCGACTTGCATATTGCTGAATCCGGATGGTAGGGCCAAACCATCCATCGGATGGTAGGATTAGAAGCCCTTGGGGCCAAAAATATCAGGCCCTGGGCTTGACCCATGACCTCAGGGACTGCCACCAGTGACATCACTGATGCAGTACCTTACCACTCGACTATACAAGATTTTCGATATCTTGCAGGTCAAAGAGTCAACTATAGACCCCGCGTTGCATTTTTGGATTGTTTTTCGACCATCAACCACCTTTTGAGATCATTTTTCGACCATCGACCCTTGTTTTTTTTTGACTGCCGGACCCGGGTGAAAACCATCAATCGGACACTCTGAGAAGTGTCCGATTGATGGTTTTCTTGTTGTCCATCGGACACTCCCAATCAAGTGTCCAATGGACACCAGGCTGTACACCATCCTCTGGATGGTCTCGCCTGCCGAGCATCCCTTGGATGCTTTCTGAAGCGTCCAAATGATGCCAGGCGAGCCCGAGCGTCCGTTGGATGCTTCACAACCAGGTTGCGGACGCTCGGGACGGAATCCATCCGTTTGCTGGGGGGTTTTTCTAAAAACCCGCCCCATGGTGTACATAATGGCCGCCAATACTCTACAGCTACTAAACAACCCTAGCCTTGGGGCATTCAACGCACCTGCGTCTTTCCTCCCCATGTCGGCCAGAACTACCACAATTACGCCGGGCTGAGGACCAGCTCGATCCCTACTAAGACCTGGCTTCAAGCACTCCCCTTTCTCTTCTTTGACCTTTACATATAACAATGGGCTTTTTTTTCTCAAACCTGCTCTCAGGCGCGCCGGATTATGTCTAAGACGGTCCTCATTGTAACGATGTTTTGCTAATTTACGGTTTTGGTTATTTCTTTCGGTAAAATGATGTTTTCGTTAGGATGTTGACATGCACATTTCCTCTTTATTTTTGATTTCTGATGACGAGTTATCTTATTGGCAATTTAGATTTCTTGTTCTTCAATGACGTGATGAATGATCGAAGATCATCTTGTCTGGTGGTTGTTAAATTTTCATATATACTACTAGATCTTTTGTTTTCTTTCCTCCTCTTCTTTCTTTCTTATCTCGATATTTCTATTTTATTATTTGTCATTACATTTATGTTACTAAAAATCATAGTACAATAAAATCAAGTTATTATTATAAAAACTATAGTCTTATTTCTCATAGCGATCACCAGAGAAATCCAGATTCTTAAACTATTTAACTCTTAACTTTAGGCAAGATTACCTCTTGGTAATCTTCATAGTCACGAGAAGTTAGAGAAATAGGTTGAGCCTCACAGTTATATCGAGATCTTCATTTCATAGTTATACCGTATTTATTAAAACTTTGAAAAAATTTTGCCGTCCTCATGTCGGACAATAATTCTCAACCATCTCCGATTACTCCTATTGGGGTTTCGCTCCCCGGTACTCCTTCCCCTTCTGCGATGCATTTTTCATCCAGAAGATTGCCGGTTCCAACTTCTACGACGGCTCCGGCTCCCTTTTTCACTATCAATACTCCCTCCCCCATTCCTCAATCTATGCTAGATTTTTCTCCTCGACCTATCGCTAGTCCTATTCTCCCCGATTCCCTTCCGTTGAATCATCCCGATCTCTCCCGACATCGACCTTTCCAATCTCAATCTCATCCTTGTCCTCCAACGACTTTTCCTATCGACCACGATGTAATCTATTCACGCTCAATCTTTAGCCGACCTCAAATCTGAATCGCATCGTGACAAGACTGTCATTCGCCAATTGCAGATTGATTTAGGGAAGATGAAGATCGAGATGAATAACGTCAAGAATGTTTGTCATGAAGAGTTTCTTCAACTTCAAACCTCAATCCAGCAAGAATTTCTGCAAGTTTGCAGTGCTTTCGATACGGTTTCTTCATCAACGGCTATTCGCTTTGATTGATTGGAGGTGGTTTTGGCAGCTCCATCGGTTCCAGTTAAGAAAACATTTGTGGATCCAGTTTATTATTCACACATATTCTTCTCGGGTGCTCCAAAAGAGACTAATTCCTTTTGTTTCTTCATGAGAAATACTTTGGAACGTTTGCATAGTCAATTTGCGGATGAGAAGCATAAGGTTATGTGGCTCGCTGGTTAATTTCGGTTGGAGTCGGGTCGAGTGGGAGAAGTGTGTCCTTCGTATAATTGGTGGTGTGGTTTGCTGGGGAAGAATGCTCAACAGCAGGGGTTGAACTCGTTGACGGCTTCTTCGCGTGCGGAATTCGTCCTAGAAGAGTTGCAGACCGCCGAGGCGTTTTTGGTTTCGATCGAATCCACCTTCTCAAATCATCGTGAGGTCGAGGAGGCGCGCAAGGCTCTGAAGGCGGCTCGCCAGGGTTCAAAGACTGTTGAGGAGTTTAACATTATTTTCAATTTGCTGTTATACTCGGTTGATTTATCTGAAGCTTCAAAGTGTGAGATTTAGACAGAGGCTATAAATCAGGATATCGTCAAGCTGGGTATGTTTTGCGGTGGATGGACTTCAATCACAACTCTTCAGGCTAAGCAAGATATGACGGCGGTTTTGTCGATGGATCTTGGTGGCGTAGGGTTTTACGAGAAGGGAGTGCGTCAGAAGGCGATAAATCAAGTGGCAAATCAACAACGTTCTCATCAACGCTCCAACAATCATCGTCCTGTTTCTCAAGCTCAACCGGATGCGACTAGAGATGGAGTTCCGATGGACATTGATGCGATCATTGCGGCTGAGATTGAGGCGACGGTTTTCTCTCATGCGGATTGGCGTGTGGAGGCGAAGCCGAGGAAGTTGTGTATCCGTTGTGGCCGACCTTTCGACAGAGCGCACAAGGATATACATTCTTGCCCTGTTAATCCTAAGTTTCATTTGAAAACCATGGATATGATAGCTTAATGGCGAGAGTGGGGTTGTTCTCCTCGTCAGGAAGAAGGTCGTGGGCTTGGCGAAGATGGTCGTGGTTGTAATGGTGGCGGGGAAAATCGTGGTTTGGGTTCGTCTTCTTATCGCCCGGTTCGAGCAGATAGTTTATTGGCTCGCATTTCGAACGACCGATCTGAGGTGCCTTTGGACAAAGGGAAGAAGCGGGAATCAGTTTCTCAAATTGATAATCAGCCATCGGCGAAGAGATCATCCGATGAGTTGTTGTTTGGCGGCCGGGATGCGGCGGATGCTTCGACTTCATTCGAGGTGCAAGAGCCTATGACGGCGGGGGAATTGTTTTTTGCTTCTAAGTTGGCGGGTATGGATATCCAAGACTGTAAGCAATTGACTTATGTTAAGAAGTTTTCTGGTGTAGATAATTGACCGTTTTTTCAGGGAAGGATGATGATAGGGGTGTCTACTTATGCTGATGCTCTTGTTTTGATTGATTTGGGTGCTTCGGCTTTGTTCATTAATGTAGAGTTTGTGAAAGCTAATAAAATAGAAACTGTTAGTTTAGATGTCGGACTTCAGTGTAATTCTTTCGATGGGACACCGGCATCATCTGGTGATATTACCCGTTTTGTAAAAGGGAATGTTTTAATTCCCACTTTGAGTGGTTCTTTTTTATCTTCTCATGTGAAGTTATTTGTAACTAGGTTGGCGTCAGCTGACATTATTTTCGGCAATCCTTGGCTGAAGGAATCAAATACATTTATTGGAGGAAATGATAATGTTATTGTTATGTATGATTGTGTTCAGCAGGTTTCTGCGGTGCTCTCTGATGAAGGAAAACAATTGATTGACTCTTTTGCAGATGTGTTTGTGACAGAAGCTGTGGCAGATTTGCCGCCTCATCGTGAGTGATTCGATTGCCAGGTTAATCTTAAAAAGGGAGCAATTCCTCCTTTTGGTAAGATGTACAATTTGAGTAAGGATGAACTAGATGAACTGAAGGTTTATGTTACAGATAATGTTAAGAAGGGTTTTATTAGAGTTTCTTCGTCATTGGCTGCAGCTCCGATTTTTTATGTCAAGGTTCCGGGTAAGGCAAATCGACCATGTGTTGATTATTGCAAATTGAATAATATGACAATTCGGGATTCATATCCGTTGCCAGTTATTGGTCATTTGCTAAATTGCTTACACGGTTGTAGTTTTTTGTCAAAAGTAGATCTGAAAGAGGCATTCAATTTATTGCGCGTGGCTCCTGGTGATGAATGGAAGACAGCTTTTCGAACGCCATGGGGACTGTTCGAATATCAGTTTATGCCTTTTGGATTGGCAAATGCTCCAGCTACGTTTCAACAATTTATTCAGCATGTGTTGCGTGAGTATTTGGATGTTTGTTGATGATATTTTAATATTTTCTAAAACTTGAGACCAGCATGTTATTGATCTTGGTAATGTGTTGCAGAAGTTAAGAGAAAATTTGTTGAAGGATTCTTTAAACAAGTGTGAATTTTTTGTTCAAAAGTGACTTTCTTAGGTTTTGACATTACAGAAACGGGTTTAAAGATGAATGAACAGAAGCTGCAGACGATTTCAAACTGGCCTTTTCCCTCGAACTTGAAGGAATTGCAACAGTTTTTGGGGTTTATTAACTTTTATCGGCGATTTATTCCGCGATTTTCTCAAGTTGCTAATGCTTTGACAAATTTGACTAAGAATGACATACAGGATGACTTGTCTTTCAACTCAAAAGTGGCTCGGGATTCTTTTGATGCTTTGAAGAATTTGTTTGTGAAAGAACCATTATTGATTCATTTTAGTTTTGAAAAAGAACACAATGTTCATGTCAACGGTGGGCCAGTTACACTAACCGTAGTGTTAGTGTAGCGTAGTGTTAGCTTTTTAAGCTACGCTACACAAAAGTTACCGTTAGCGGGAATTTTTGGCCCACTAACACTACAGGATTTTTGAAAAACCAAAAAAAAACTTTAGCGTAGTGTTAGCTACCTTTAAAAAAGCACAACTAACACTACCCAAAATCCTGTTAGTGGAATTTTAGCGGTGTTAGTGGGTGAACACACTACACTACATGTTAGTGTAACTTGCAAAGTTACACTAACAGTTAGTGTAGTGGTACCATCAGTTACACTAACTGTTAGCGTAACTTGTGTAAAAGTTACACTAACTGTTAGCATAACTGTTTAAAAGTTACACTAACTGTTAGCGTAACTGATTAAAAGTTACACTAACTGTTA